AGAGAGGGCCACAGAAGTTTGTTCTTCAATGAATAAAAGCATCTGACCAAGATTTTGTCCAACTTTTTGGAATCTGGAGCAGAGATTGCATAAATACTGTCACCCTACACAGCAAATACAGTAGCATGGAACTATAATTCCTCCACAAACAGGAGAATTGGGCACAAAATCTAATCTTTTTTTGTGGAAAATTAATCCAGATTTCAAGAAGTATATCAATTCTTCATCATTTCTAGATTACTCTGAAATATACAAATTATTTTCACCTGAATTTGGAAAGGTTAGTCCCAAGAGCCTTAGAAAAATAAAAGTGAGTACTTATATGTAGTTTAATTAATATTCTAAATGCTTAAATGGATTGATAGGATAATCTTCCTCCAGGGGACTATATTTTAAACAGATGGGTACTGCTTATATTTTTCAGTATTATCTGATTTCCATAAATAATTTATTCCAAATATCCATGTATCAGTGCAGTATTGTTGCTCAGTAAAATATATACAATGTAAATGTGCTTCTGATGACAGACCAGCTTGTTGTGTATTACTGAGGAATTTGGTTATAAATTGTATGTGTGTGTAAATGATACAGTAAACCATCTATCAAGTAGGAGGATGGTGTGGAGTTTGAAGAATTAAGTGTCCTTGAGAGTGATAATTGCTGCAGAAGTATGGTTATATACTGTAAGTTTATTTACCCAGACACAGATGGAGCAATGAAAAGGAAGCCACTTTGGTAGACTGTTAAACTTAAAACAATATCAGTCCACAAAGCAAGACAAGTACCCTAGCTTTTCTTCAAATATGGCCATTTTTGTTATATTCAAAACATATATCCCTTCCTTGTATAATAAAACTATAACCATATATCAATGTCTGGCTAAGCTGATGAGATACCCATTGATTCTCATTCAAAGTTAGCCAAGGCAGATTGAATAGAAGGTTAGATGACGCCAGAACTGTTGATGAGGAATTTTGGCTGGCATAATATCTGATTACAGTGCATATATTGTGTGAAGAGAGATACTGAGTGGTTAGGATTAGGATTAGACGTGAAATTAGTATTAGCATAATCCCTCTTTAATTATTTCTGCTTATACCAACCCTTCTCAAGATTGTATTGTCTACATGTGCTTGGAATACAAAGGCTATACATAGTGGGAAACTCTTAGAACCACAGCCCCAGCTGAACTAAAAGACATCAGATTAGAGAAAGCTGGTTGTGCAAACTCAGAAAATTCAGATAAATGTGAAATCTGGTTAATGAAGGGTAAGGGCATAATGCACACCCAGCCACCAGGCTGCCAAACTGCCAACTATCAGATTCATCCCAATGTAAATATTGACAAGATCCTGGTAGATCACAATTCCTGGCGTGATATAATGTTTCTCCCAGAACTCTAAAAGTGCTATTGCCAGAAAAAATGGGATCACTAGAGCCCAAAATGGCCTTAGTTTATAAGATTACATGACAGCATACTCTAGAATAGGAAGAGATTCCCTAATCTAGAAGATGGTTTTAAGATATAGGGCCTCATAAAATTGGGTGTAGATCAATCAAATCCCCCACCCCTGCCAACAAAGAAATACCATATTCTCTATTGAAATATAATTATTTATTGGTTAGTCTTTTCATTGATTTATTATTTCAATCATAGCCCACTTCATATGAAAGAAGCCAACAATCAGAAATAAAATGTAAGCAATTAAAATCCAGTAATACTCATAAATGGTCTTAATGAGTTGAGCAGGGCTTAGAGGGGTTGAGCAGAGTTAAATCTGGTTGAACTTGGATGGGAGACCACTTGAAAATTCCGTGGCTGTCAGCTAGATTGGAAGGTAAAAAGGAAAGTGGAAAGGAAACTACATGGGATATATCTATGAATTCACCAAGAGACTAGCTTCCCTTGAGGGATTCTTGATCTTTGCTAAAATTATTATCTTTTCAGTTCAACTGGTCACACTGAAGAAAAAAATGTGTTTTATAAAGGTGAAAAAATAATCGTTGTGTATGCTATAATTTAACATTGACATGTGATATATACAAACTACGTCACATTTGACTAAACTATCCATGGCATGATGCTCCTCAGTGTTCTTTCCTATCTGCCATTGTCATTCTCTCAAGTGTTATAAAGTATTTTCCTGGCTCCTTCTCACATGTCCTAAACTACTGTACCCCTCAGTTTTCCCTTAACAAATCCATCTTTACTTCCAGAACACCAGTACAGCTGATCTACTCCCCCCAGTTTTTTCCTGCTCCACAGCATGTTTAAAAAGCTGCCAATAACTCTTTCAATAAAAGCCTACTTTTTCATTACATGTTTAGAATAGTGCTTCTCAAACCTGACAACTTTAAGATGTGTGGAATTCAACTCCCAGAATTCCCCAGCCAGAAAGTTGTCAAATTTGAGAAACACCGGTTTAGAACTTTCCTTCTTGCAATATCTTCATCTTCCACAACTGCAAGAATCACATGTACTAGTTTGAGCTGCATGAGGAAAGGTTACATTTTAAAATAAAAGTAAAGGACAGAATATGCATCTTGGTATGCATGTCACTGATAGGAAAAACTCTACTCTCTGCTAAGTTCTAACATTTGCTGAAAGCATTGCTGGTATTCATCAACCAGTCCTCTGCTGACCAGTTAGGAACCATTCTTTGCTATACCATTACTAAGACATTCATAAATAGGGTTGTAATGATAACTCAAAAGCCAAATCAACCACGTGTTAATTACTACTGAAATCACTATGAACTGCCATACCTGCAATCAAGTCTAAACCAAAGTTAACACTTCTCTCCCCACTTCTGTGTTCTGAAAAGATTCCCAACAATGTACTCAAAGGATAGGCATTGCAAACTCCAAAGTTGGGATAACTCCTAGCCCAACTTGCTCTGAGACTTGTAATAGCCCATAATGTTTCATTAAGTATTAGTTCATTTCACAATGTCTAGGCAATTTAACATTTCACATTATTGTGTTCTTTCTTTTCCAAAGATCTTGCCTTCTGTAATTTGTTACAATTCCCATGCTAGACTGAGAAACTTTGGAGGCAACAGATGAAGGGTTGCACTCCCTTAAAGAGCTCAACATGCCTTGGAGGATATAAGATGCTCATGAATGTTGAAAAATTAAGACAGGCAGATGTTGTGTACCAAGAATGCTGACTCAAGTCATAGGTAAAGCTCTCCCTTTAAGCCAGTTGGATACCTAGAGCAATATTTCTCAATCTTGGTGATTTTAATATGTGTAAACTTCAACTCCCAGAATTCCCCTGTCAGCAGAACTGGGGGGGGATTCTGGGAGTTGAAGTTCATGCATTTTAAAGTCATCAAGACTGAAAAATACTGATCAAGAGCATTAGAAATTAATTCAAGATGTTAAGAGTGACTATTCCATAGCAAGCTCCAACTATCCACAGCAAAGGCAGATGTTACATTTTTCCCTGCAAGTTGTTGTGATTACTATGGCTACTATATAAATAAAACTGGATGCAGTTATTTGTTCTGGTTTAATTAAAACGGAATGCTAGGAGCAATCCAATGTCTATAGCTAATTTACACACCATCCACAATTAAGAGTGGAATGGGCCATCCCAAATTACTATCTTTAGAGGAAGGGGGGGGATCTGTAGGGTCTGTAGGATGTGGTCAAAAAAAAATCAACATGCAAGTCCCAAAGTGCTACCAAATCTCTCTGAGGCACATTAAAAATAGGTAGAGTTGAATGCATTAGGCTGGCTGCCATCTTGACTTTTTTGACCACTTGTGGATACCCTGATGTCCTTTAACCTCTTTTCATTGAAAATAAAAGGGGATAAGGCTAACCTAAGGAAGGCAAAATCAAATGAGCTGAATTATGTTCCCCCCCCACTGTGTTTTTTTTAATGTGATATTTCTTCCTAGCTTTCTTCTGATTTTCCCTTAAGTATTAGAAATCATTCCGAATAATAGTCATTTTGAAAGGCAATTGCTGGTTAGAAGACAAGCATTAAGGGGGGGGGGAATGAAATGCAAGACTCTGCCCCAAGCACCTTACAGTGACAGAGAAAAGAAACAAAGACACCAGCAAGGTGAAGGTAGGAAAGGTGACAATTAAGCACCGTTTGGAGTTAAAAAAATTTCCAGGAGTCAACTAAAAAGGCCAGCCTGGGGAAGATGGGCCTGAGAACTGAAAATGACAGCCAGGATCTTCCCTGGAAGGAGCTGCAGGTGTTGCAGGCAGGAAGGGTGAAAAGAGACAAAGCCAATCACGCCCTCCCATAAACCCAAACGAAAGGAGGTAGATAGGCCTTGACAACAGAAACTCAGGAGAACAGCAACTCAGTATTTGCTGTTCTGGGGAAATTCGGGAGTAAAATAATTCAGTATTTGCTTGTCTGGGGACCTCCAGAAATGTTGGATATCAGCTCCCATGATCCTCAACCGGGATGACTGGGGATACAGGAGAATCCACGCCCAACGCTTCTGGGAAGCACCGGATTCGGAGCCTCTCTGCTGCCTTTAAAAATCTGCATTTCCCAGCAGTTTAAACTGAGTGTCAAGCCCGGAAATCGCTCCTTAGTATGGGAGCTAACGAGAGAGCATTTCCTCCGCACCGCAAAGCCAGGGCCCGAAGTCTTTCGTACTGGGTGAGACGCGTTCTCTACCCCACAGCCCCGCAAAACACACACACACACACACACACACACACACACACACACACACACACGAGGGGAGGTTGCCCGCCTCCCTACCAAACCCCGTTTTCTTAAACTTCCGTTTTAATGCTGGTTTGCTCTGAAAGGCATCCCTTTGCACACTGGAAAGAAACGCTGCTTGTCTTCTTTGACCCTCTGGTCTCATTCTGAGATTCAGACGAGCCAATAAAAAAAAAAAACCATTTGAGACAAGATTGGGAGTTAGGCTTGTGGGGGGGGGGGAGAGAAAAACGAAAAACCCCAGCCGTTCGCCTCCGCTCTCTTCGGATTTCCAGTGAAAAAGACTCTCTTCCCCCCCTTCTCTCTCGCCCTCTCCCTCCCCCCAAAGAGGAGGGGGGAGAACCCTCCCGCAGAAACCTATGAAAGGCGCAGGACAAGCCTGTTGAAACTTGGGGAAGTGTTAGTTTACTTTGTCAAATATTTGGAAAGACTGGCTCCGTCGCGACTTAGGCCAAGCTCCTGGTTTTTAGAGGTCTTTATTAGTTTTCGGAGCTCGGGGGAGAGTAGGGGGAGAGGGATAAAACGGTATACTATATATACTGATAAAAAAATGTTTAAAAAAATACCCCAATCGCTCTTTACACTTGGAAGCTTCTACCAAGCTACCGGAATTGTTGTCTTTATCCTAGCCAGAGCTCCCAAGAAGCGCCCTCCTTCCTTGAAGAAAGGCCTCAGGCCCAACCGAAGAGAAATTTAGCTGACACAAACCTTCCCCCCCCCCAATCAAATTCTGTGGGTTTCCGTGCGAGGGATTTGCGCGCGCGCTTCGTTAACTCTCTGGTCGAAATCCCCGGGACCTCTCGCCCCTCTCCCCCTCGGCGCGCGGGCTTCGGTCTTCAAAGAAGGGCGCGCGAGGATGCACCTTGCAGCCGGCAGAGATTCGGTCTATTTGCTTGAGAGTATAAAACCCCTTCGCAACCGGGAAAAGCTCTTTCTCTCTCTCTCTCTCTCTCCTCCCAGGGTGGCGTGTCCTTAAAACGCGCTCGTATTTTCTTGGATCGCGACCACAGCGGCTATAAATCTCGGAGGCAAACCCTTGGACCTGAGTCAGGCGGCCTTCAGGATTTGTGTTCCCACGACGCGCCTGGGTCTCGCCTGTTGCCCTCTGGGCGAACCCAAAGTTTGGCTTCTTCGCGTTTAACTTGTTTTGCAAAGCAACACAAAACCAGGGACCAGCGCGTGCTTCCTGCGATCAGGGTGGCTGCCGTTGCCATCAGATCGGCTCCGCTTGGAGTCCCCTTCTTTCCTCTCCCCCTCCCCCAAAAAATTCACCGGTCCGCGCTGCACCCGGAGTCCCGCGACCCATTTAGGACATTCGGTGTTCACTCGGGAAGGGCGAAATAAAAGGCACCTTTGGAGGCGAAATAAATCAAGTTTCCTTCCTTTGTAATTTATTACTCAAATTAGACTACAGAGATACAGTAACACACCCGGTTAGCACATTTCACGGGCGAGGAAGAAAACCCCCCATTTTAAAAGTGAAGAATGAAACGCCGTCATTTTTATATTCTCGTTTTATCCTTCCGCGATTTAATACTAGCACCTTCCACGGGCCGAATAAAAACCAGGCGATCGATGGGGGGGGGGATTAAAAGGTGGTTTGCAAATAAGGGCAACATTTAACTGTAGAATTTCGGGGCTTCCGTTCCCACATTTTTGCAAGACGGGAGAGATCGGGCAAGACTTCCTAAAGCGTCTCTTGCACGGTTTGCACCGCTCAAGATGGGCCAAGGACTTACGCAAAGATTATCTGTGCCCCGCACAGCAGCCGGCAAGAGAGGGCTGGAAGGCGCGAAAAAAAATAAAAAAAAAATCAAAGTCCAGAGGTTTTGCTACCTAACTTCACCTCTGGACTTTCGATCAGGAATCTGAAAGGTTGCAAGCGACGCATCTGTCACTCGCTTTTTTTTTTTCTTTTCCTTTCGTTTTCTTTAATGAATAACGGACCTGTTTTCAAATTGTATCGACTGGATACATCTGCTTTAGGGGGAAGGAAAGAAAAAAAAAACAGCTAATCAAAGGCAGGCGAGGAGGAAGAGGGTGGTCTGTTTCACAGAAAATTAGACAGTAATCCAATGAGGTCGTATGCTTTTCTCTTCTCTCCCTCCTTCCTCTCCTCTCCCCCATTTTTCGCCCAAACAAGCAAATAATCGTGCATTTAAAAAACATGTCACGCAAGCTTATGCCACATTTTCTCTGCAGGACCCCCCCCCCGTTCCTTAATTTTTCTTTTTTCTTTTTACAAAAATTCCAGCAATTGAAAAAGTCTGGGTCGCTGATGGGATCCAAACCAATTTAAGGACCGAATTGGGTGACCGACCGGATAACCAGCCTTGCCCTTCAAAAAAACAAGACGGGAAAACCTGTTCCTCTCGTGGCCTTTCTAGTCCTTAAAAGTGTTTTTAAAAGCCGCCCACCCGAGAATAAAATGAAAGAAACCTGAAATAAATATAAGACTTGCTAGAAAGTCAACCCCGCCAACATTCAGCGGGACCTGAAGCTCCCGAGGAAGTACCAGGGGCGCAAGCTCGAAAGCATAAGGAGCCCAGGAAATCTCCTTCCAAGAATTGGTGTAAACTTTGGAAAATACACACATACACGAGCACGCGCGCGCACACACGCACACACACATACACAAACCCGCACGCTGCAGTAGGAATCTGAGCGCTATGGCAGGCAGAAGTCTGACGGGCGGGGGGCCGGTCAGAACCCGCAAGCAGCACGCCTGAAACTGACACGGCCGACACGCGAGTATATGTCTCTTCGAAGCCTTTCACAGCTAACGACCCCCCGCCCCCCCCCTCGATTCGAGGCACGCATCCCAGCGCTCCTACTTATCCAAGAGACCCGGTTCGCCCGAAAGAGCTAACGTGTAAGTTGACCTGCCCCAGTTGCTGGTCGTCTGGAGCCTCTGGGTTCTTTTTATTTTAATAGTGTCAAACCAAACAAGGCGCCTAGTAGAGTCAGGGCCAGGCCACACGGCAGGCCCCTTGGCCACGATCGAGGAATAACTACGTGGGGAAAACGCCGAAAGCAACAAGCGAAGGAAACCTTGCAAAAAAAAAAAAAATTTTTCTCTCCGGGTTCAATAGAGTGGACGCGTTTGGGGTTGTCAGGGAGGGAAGAAGGGATTCGGAGCGGCTGCCGTCTCCCTCCCACCCACCCCCCACCCACCCCCTTCGCGCCTTTCCACGGCGACCGCCGCTTTCTGCAAGAAAAGAGATTAGAGCGGAGTTTACGGGAAGGGGGAAACCCGGGGCACCGTTGCAAACACGGCAAGGGAAAGCCAACGGGAGGCTTCGGGCGCGCCCAGGTTGGTTTGCTTTTGCACGCAGGCGAGCTTGCAAAGGCTGGGAAGGCACGGAAAGCGGGATGCGGGGGGGGGCAGAGCGGGCGCCGGATTTTTCAAGGCTTCTGAGGGGGGGGGGAGATCGAGTTTGTTGCGCCTCGGCGTTTCGAACAAAGGAGACCCCCTCAATCGCCTGGAGCCCCAACCCGGCTGGCTCTCGCTTTTTGCAAGGCGCGACCGCCCGAAACTGACCAGCCCTGAGGGGGGGAAACGGCGGCGGAGGTGGCCCCCTAAGTTCCTATGGGGATTTCCCGCCGCCGGGCTTGCAAAGCGCCTTTCCTCCGGGTCCTCCTGCGCCCCCGCCCCTCCGCCGGCCCTCCTCTCCCGGCACAACCTGCCCTAGCAAATCAAGGGGTCCGCTCCGCTCCCCTCCTGCAGGTCGCCGCCGCCGCCGCCGCCGCCGCGCTCTCCCCTGGCAACCCCGCGCTTCCTCCCCCCCCTCACGCTGAGCCCCCCCTCCGCAGCCCCGCGCGCGTTGTTTTTCAAAGGGCCGACAGCGCCCACTGCAGGCGCGCCGCGTCGCTGCAAGCCTCTCCTCCCCGCTCCTCCCTCCAGCCCGGGCGAGCGACTAACTAGCGGCGCTCTCCGGCACTGAACTTTTGCTCAACTCTTTCGCCGCCTCGGCTGAAGTTCACCAGCGAACCTCTCCCCACCCCCTCCTCGCCGCCGCCGCCGCCGCCACCCCGGCAGACAAACAAACAAACAGCGCCGGGCAGAGGCAAAGCCCAGCCGAGCCGAGCCGGGAACTTCCCCTGCGCTGCAAAACTGCCGCTGGAAGAAATCCGACCAACTACTCCGCGACTCTCACCCCCCCCCCCGCCCGCAAGCGCCCTCTCGACTGCGCGGCCGCGAGTGGATGGGCGGCAGCAGAGGCAACAGCAGCAGCAGCAGCCCGGCCCGGCCCGGCCCGGCCCGGCAGGGACCCGCCTGGAAGCCAGGGCAGGATCGGGCGCGGGGCTTTGGGGGTCCCAGCGGGGAGACTCCCCCCTCCCGGCGCTTCTCCCCCCCTCCCCCCCCAGCAGACCCGGACGCTTCGGCCGCCTGAAAGCCTCGTGGCAGAGAAGGGGGAGCAGCAAGCGAAAGAGCGCGGACACCTACTTGTGGCCAGCTTTCTGGCTCTGCCTTTGGATCGCATGGGTGCCAAGTCCTGCGGACGCTGCTTTGACGGTGTTGGGGGGAGAGAGATCTGGGAGGGGGGAACCAGTGGACGGGCTTTTTTTCCCCTCTCTTTTCCCTCCTTTTATTTGTGTTTCCTCCCCCCCTCTTGTCTTTCTCTCTCTCCCTCTCTCTCACCCAGACTCTCTTTCTCTCAACCCAGAGCTCGCTATCTCTCCAGCATTGTCAGTTTGGACACCTTCGCACATGCGCACGGGCGGCTTTTCTTCCCCCCCCTTTCTCCCTCTCCGCTCAACCTCTCCCCCCCCCCTTTCAACATCTCCCGGTCGCCACTGCCAAAAAGAAAAGAAAAGAAAAAAAAAAGTTTGGAGCGATCTTTCACTTTGGGATGTGGGGCTCTGGCCACCAGAGCGGCAGGACAGCCGCTCCCCGCCTCGCCTCCCGGGGAGACCCTTTAAAAAAAGGGGCCGGACGGGACGGGGATGCGTGGATTTACACCCACCCCCATCCCCCACCCCGGATTAGACGCCCCGCATAAAACGCCTTAATATTGAGCGATGCTTGGCGCTCTTTCCCCCCTCCCTCCCTCCCCATCGTTCCACGCCGCGCCCTTCCCACTCGCAGGGAATTCCGCCGCGCTCCCGTCCTGGCACGTTTACTCGGAAGCAAAGCTCGCCGGCTTTCTGGGACCCGCTCAGCTCCCGTTCCCTTGCCCGCCCGCCTGCCTTTAGCTAAGCCCTCAGGGAGATGGCAGCCCCGCGCTTCCAATGGACGGCAGCCCCGCGCTTCCCTCCAGAGGCAGCGGGTGCGGGAGGAAGGCCCCCCCCGCCCGCAGATGGGGAAGAGCCTATGTGGGGGGGGCATTGAAGAAGCGGATCGCCCGGAGGGGGAGGATGCCAAGCTTTTGAGGACCGCAAAGTCTCCCCTTTTCCCACCTCGAGTTGGGAAGGGCGGGGAGGACCTCAATCTTTACGCCTTGTGCCCGCTCGTCCCTCGGGGCCTCCCCGTGGCCAACAACGCGCTTTTAGCGTTCCTCAGATGTTGGCCCTCCTGCTTTAGCTTAAGCAGTTGTGGATACAGAAAGGGAAAAAGAGGCCCAGATTGACTACTCCGGGGAAAGCTTAGAGGATTTCTCTTTACCCCCCCCTGCCCCGCCCCGCCCCAACTTTAGGATAGCCGACTCAGGTCCTCGTAGTTTTGCAGCTCCATTTAGGAATAGGATCACTCGTTTACTCGAGAGGAGACGCTGTTGCCCTTGCGAGGGCGAGGAGGTTTCTGGCCCTGCCTCCGAAGGCGGAAAGGGCCTCGCTACATTTCGGAGTTCAGCATCCGGGCGCCCCGATCCTAACCTTTCGCTTACTCGAAAGTAAGCCGCGTGACTTTCTATTGTGGCTCCAGGGGAAAATGGCCTCTGTTGGGGTGACCCCAACCTTCTTGTAACCCCCTGCGTGTTTTTTCAAGAAGTCAGGGAAGGAGGATTTGATCCAGAGTAACTTTGCTTTGGGCAGCTCCTCGGGGACCACCACCACCACCCCGATAGATTTATGTCTTTAAACATGTATTGATTTTTATATTTAATGCTGGCACCCATCACGAGAGAAAAACTATTAACTAATAACCTGGTAGAGACCTTCAAACCAATGCTTCGGTAATCCACCCTGGTTAAGAAGTAAATCTTCTTGATTTCAGTAGGGCTTACTCCCTAGTAAACGTATTTAGGCTTTGCTTGTACCTTATGATCCGATCGATATGCCCTTACTCAGGAGTAACTCCCTCTGAATTCCTAGCGAAAGGCTTCCAAACAGCCTGAGTAAGATCGGGGTAGATTGCAACAACGAGGCCACCCGGTCCGTTCGCAACTCCCAAGAAATACCCATTTATTCAAGTCAACGGGATTTGCCTCGAACTCGTATATGTAGGATTTGAGAGAATTGGGCGAGTCTTCGAAAAGATCCCTCCGGCTTCTCTCCTCTTCCTTCAGACGAAACTGAAGCGATGAGGATCTTAAGTAACCCGAATTATTTCATTCACTCGCATAAACAGGAGGTCGCTGAGCATTTTCTTGAAGCCAGGATCTCGCTTTTAAGAATTGGGCCCCTTGTTAGAGGTATGAATCAACTCGAGCTACAATAATGGGTTTCTATTTTATTTACTTATTTTTAATTTTCCTCCGGAACAATCTCTTCCTACTAAATAGCTTTGTTCAATACCTCCCCCACGCTATTTATGCGCCCATTAATATCTGTTGCAAAATTCTGCTTAGATACCATAAAATAAAATTATGGGCTTTCAGACCCGAGGTTGAGCTGGTTCGTGCAAGGAAGCAAGCCGCTTGGTTTGGAGTTTCAGATTTTCTCCCCCTCTCTCTCTTTCAGCACCTCTTCACGGGCCGCTGCCTAGATCTAAGAAGCGGATGCGCCCGATCCTACACACAATTACGGTGGTCACAATCCACTTCGGAGTTAGGCGCGCGTAAACCGCGGTAATCTCCACCGCGGTTTGAGATAGCCGGAGAGATTCTATCGCAACGCAACCCACACAACCCGGCAACAAATGATTTGGGGCTGTATATGTAGCCGCAGCTATTCCAGACACGGCCCCGTTGGGACTGGTGGAATTTGTTTCCGAACAAAACGTGTTTCTAATCGGACAACAAAACTGCAGAGACAAGAAGTGGTGGGGGGGAGGCACTTTCTGTTAAGGACACCCTTTTAAAAAGATACACGCGAAGACAGAAGTCGGGTTTTTAAAGGGTAGGTAGGCTAATTTCAATTTTGAGGTGGCATTGAGGATTGCAACAGGAGGCACTCTGCTTCCGATCTCGAAAAGTGAACGTGCGAAGAGTGATAAACACGACACAACGTCTTCCTTTCTCAAGTTCAGCACATGCCAGCTTCGCGGGGAACGTAGAGAGTTTCTCGGACGTTTCCCTTTCTAGGGAACCCGTGTACCGATTCCCGGTATGTGTTGGGGGGGGGGGAATGTGGCGAGAGAAGAAAGATCGTGTTTAGCTGAAGTGAAGCAAGTTTAGCGCACCACAGGTCAATGGAGGGCTTGTAGCTACGCGGGCTGAATGAAACCCACTTGTGCAGAAGCGGTCTATCGGTAAACGGGTCTCCTCGCCACGTGTTTCTCACGCGTTTCTCAAGGTGAGCCGGCTTTAGTACCAGAGGGATCCACTCTCTGACCGATCGGGACAGAAAAGCCGGAGAGCCCCTTCGCTTAACAAAACCGCTCCCAGAAGTAGCCGCTCTGCCAGAAAAAACTCACACCGGTGTATTTGGGAAGCAGGCAGGCCCATCCCGAGAGGACGTCGGATGTGTGAATGCTCATCTCGTGATATTACTTTGTCTTGAATCCCAGAGCAGGCCAGGTATTAGAGAGAAATAAGGGAGAAATATATGAAA